CCATAGCTTGAAAATTTATTTTTTAAACTTCCAAAAGCTTTCAAAATTTTGCTGATTTTGAGATGAATTATATTAAAATATTGCTGGGTTGTTTCTGGATTATTTTGTGATGAAAATCGCTAAAAAAATATGCTATTTTTGAGCTTTGATGAAGCTCCCATTGCAGAACCCAGTTTCGAGCGAGTCGACCTGCCAAAGGAAGAAGAAGACAAGAGAAATCTCAATAAATCTTAGGGGTTAGGGTGAGATTGTGAGAGAGACATTTTATTTATATTTATCACTAAAAAATCTCACAAAATCCACTAAAATCGTCAGATTTTTTAATAGCACAATATTATTTTTCTTTTGTTTAAAATCTTGATTAAATACTATCGGATTTGGATGGACTCTAAAATAATCTTTTAAAATTCTAATCAAATTCCACGTGACTTTTTTTAAAAAATCCTAATTAAATATCAAGGGATCTTTTGTCCAAAAACATACACCCCTTAATTATGCCTTGATTGGACTGTTTATGAGAAAATTTGAGCTTGACATCAATCCTTAAGTGGCAAAAATTACTAAGGGGGCGTTTGGTTTAAGGATTTGGTTGAGATTGATAGGGAAATGATTCATGGGCATCTAAGCTAACCATGTTTGGTTGAAGGATTTGTCAAACTTCCCTACCTAAATCAGTTTCCTATCAAACCATGTTGCATATGTATCTCCCTCCATTTAGCCGGCAAAAGAAACCCAATGGCAGGATGGTATTATGAAAAGCAGCCTAAATTGGTCATACTGCATTCTATACAAAAGACGAACGAACCCTCACTTTATTTGCTTTTGCATATGTACATTGGCAATTGAAAAAGCAGGTTACAAAAGGGTAGGATGACTGATTGAAATGATTTTGAAAAGTAAGGTTATTTTCGTAAAAGCATATTTTTTTCCCATCTATATTTAACCAAAAGCCAAACATAGACTTTACAAAAGTTATCTAATTTCCCCGGTAAAAATTTTTCCAACCAAACAACTATTTTTATATTTTCCTATCAAACTCACTTCCCAACCATTTCCCAATTAATCACATTTTCCAATGATTCATAAAAATTTCTCTTTAACCAAACGCCCCCTAAGAATTCTACTGCCTTGCTTGCTAGGTTCCTCCAACGGTTTGGAGACCACAAATTATAAATGTATGAGCAAGGGAAAAAGCCAAAGATCTTCGAAAGATGATAATGGGAATTGGGAAAGCCTTTAAACAGAGAGAACTGGTAGGTACTGATGAAAATAGATGGGCTTTGAAATTGGTTTGGTGTTTGAACCTATCTAAAGGCCATATATTTTTTGGGCCTCGGTGGACTCACCACGTAGACTAATCATGCTGCATAAAATACTAGTGATATAGACAAGCCATAAACCCATAATAAGCAATGATATCGAGAATTGACTTCAATCACATGATAAACTACACTTTATCTCTCAAAGTTTTTTTATTGAAATTAATTTAACACATAAACTTTAAAATCTTACAATTTATATTTTTTGAGATTCAGAATCGAACACGACATTCCCTTTGGAAATTTAGAAACACAGTCATGATTCTTGCAACCATAACAAGCTACATTTTTTGTTTGGTAACGCATTTTTGGGTTTTGTTTAATAGGATCCTCTCTTTAATACTACAACTATGCTTTGTTTATGTCGATCTTATTGAATCGTGAAAAATTAATTTTCTATAATTTTTCTTCGATCGTATTAGAGATATCAGTTGGTAGCATGAGACTGAGTGGTGAGAGAGGACTTCGGTTCGAATTCCACCAACACCATCTGAGGAGAGGCATAAGTACCGTAATCCTTGGACTCGCACCCGAACTCTGGATTAGTCCCATAGACGGCTCAAAAAGTCGAATCCGTGGAGATACCGGGGGTTTTGATTCGCCTCAAAGAGGTAATTATGATCAGTTTCAAAAAAAAAAATAACAAAATAAAAAAAATTCTTTACCATATTAATTAATGTCTGTTGATCACTAATGTGCGTTGTAGTATTAGTATCACTTTATTTGAGTTGGATTAAAGGAAAATTTATATGGAACTATTTAAATTCAAACACTGTATTTATAGTCGTGTTGAATCAAAATTGCTTAAACAGAATCAAATAATAAATGAAATATGCTTGTCAATGTATGAAAAGAATTATAAATCAAATACGCAAATTAATCACAAGCAAACATTCTCATGGATGGAAACTCGGAATTGAATTTTAAGGTGTGGATGGAAATTTCTATGAGTCTTGTTCTTGTGTATGCCACATCAAAATCCTAACAAAGATGGGTCTTAAACATCATTTTCCAAGTTTTCGTTTTATCAACATCCCTTTCAATTTTATTTTATTTTTTTCAGAAATAGCAACTAGGGTAACTCAATTGTGACTTTCTCATACCATGAATTGCGGCAAAACTGTCTAGTTCCTGAACTCAAGGTAATTTAAATTGTCCTTTTTTTACTTCCTTTTCTACTTCATTTATGTTGCTGTTATTTCTTTTACACTGACAGTTTCCCATTTTCATTTCTGTGTATGCACTGCTCAATTATTGGACTAGCAGAAAACAGAAACTGAAAAGAATAGGTAGCTAAAAAATGCCACAGCTACTTACTTTAACTAATGTTGCAGTACGAAAACCCCTATCTGTCAGCTTTGCCCTTACATTTTGTGCCCCCATGAATAATACTTATGATTAGGTGTATGCATATTATGAATTAGTTGGCACTATCCACCCTCTTGCAACTGACCAATTAATAAATTACCTAGAGACTTTAATGCATATTAAATCTCCCTCTCTTTGCTTACCATTCATTTTGCTTTTATTTGAGAAAAAAAAAATTATATACAGCTCCTTTTTTGGGAACACTTACAGTAAACTAACCTATGCTTGATTGTAATATGCCATATCTAGTGTCATCTCTAGCTAATTAGATGACATTAGGAAAAAAAAAAAAAAAGCTGTATGAAAGATTTGAAAAAGGAAAGGCATCTATAAAAGGGTAGTGGTAAATCTCAGTTAATTTGAAAAAGGAAATTTTCCATCAACATCAACAATATTTTTATCTTAAATTAATTAAGATCAATGATAAATGAATTCAAATAAAAGATAAAAAGGGATTGAAAAAAGATAACATAAAATAAAATAAAAATAATATATATATATATATAAACAAAAATAAAAGGGGTGTAAAAAAATAAAAATATAAAGGTAATTTCCCATATTCTAATAAATTTGTAGGAGCATTTTTCTTTTTTTCTTGCTTGAAACAGAGACTTGTCTGTTCTTTTTAATGTGCCAATGGGGTCAATATCATGAGCGTCACTTTATGAAATGCCATTAAATATGCTTGACCTAATCACAGGCTGTCCTAGAACCCCTAATTAAATGATAGTTATGTCCCGGTTGATGCATAGAGCAAGTCAACCAACTTCTAACATTAATATTTTCACTACTTGTTGGATGTGAAAAGCCTTTACAAGCCATGTGAACTTATATATAGAGGGCCCCTTTCATTTACGTCACTATCCCTTCTGTGGTGGGATATGCCTTGTTTAATTTGTTTTGCAATTTTTTTCCCATTTTCCCTTTCATCCAAGGGTAACAAGGACATGTGGAAGTTGTATGCTTTTCTTTTTTTCCACTTTTTTTTTCCTTCCCCTAAGACTAGGTGTGGCTAATTAATTGAAAGGCCAAACCCACCAAGGGTATTTAGAACTTTCATCAGTTTCATGTCACTTGCCACTGTTTCCATTGTTGAGAAAGTGACCAAAGGTTCAAAGCTGCCTTCTACATCTAGAAACTTTGAAAAGGGAAATTCTTTTATGCATTAATTGGTGTCCATATTAAAAGGTGCGCAAAAATTTGAACCATACATAAAAATTCAAACTAATTTAATGGGTACAGCTATGTGTGTACTAATTTATTTATTTTTTGAAAAAAAGTGCATATATGAAATAGTATACTTATTTCGAAAACCCCCTAGCTTATTTGTGAGAATTCTATGGAACCAAATGTTCCATCTAACAGTAGGTCCCTTTTGAAGGAAAAGTACCCTTCATTTACTTGTGCTAGCGGTTCTTCGAATTTGTACAGATTTAATTACATTGGACTTCGAAATGTTGAATGAGAATTAATAGCTTCATTTTACTTGGACTAAGTTTCACATTCAACTTTAAAGACTTAAATTATGTGAGAATAGTTTCAGTGGCCAACACCCGAGGGAGGGAGGAAGGTGCTGAAAGGGGCAGCACAGAAGAGGCACGTTGAGCCACTAAAAAGCAGAAGGCAAATAAATTTGAAAAGATACAAACATGGTGGCCAACCAAGTTTCACTGCATACATGGAAAGTCTCTTGCATAAAAAGGGTTGAAGTTTCGTTGCCGTGCTAAATTTGACATCAAAATCTGAATGAGCTTTTTACAAGCTCAACAGTACTTATGTTCTTTTTACTTACAAACTCAACAGTGTTTTAAGTTCATAATTCCAATGAGGAAAAGTGTGGATGAAGGAAACAGATTTGAATTCAAATCCAAGAAGGGTGCACATGGAGGGTGATCATCAACGATTTTATTAGTCAAATGAAAAGAGACTTTATTAAATTAAAATAAAAGAAATCTAGCAGGCGCTTCTACATGGTTCTTCTTGGGATGATTGTTCAGGTCCCACCACCTTGATCTAAATTAGGGACCTCTAGACACTGGTGGTGGCCTCGATCGAAGATTGAGGACCATAATCTTTGATAAAACCACCATAATTGCAGGCCTAACTCCAACTAAATTATTAAGTTAAAAAAATAAAAAATCAAAACAACATCTTACTGATTGCATAACCCCCTTCCCTTCCTTCCTCGTAAAGGAATTAGAATATCATCGAAAATTGTACTCTAGAAAAATAAATTTATGTAAAGACCCACATGTCCATTGGGAGAATGGGAACTCCCAACTATACAACAAGTATGTCCAGTCCAAACCCAGATTAAGTCCATTAACAAGCAATATAGTCGATTATAGGAGAAAGAAAGTTCATCCCAGTAAGATCACAAATGAGGAGGAACATGTCACAAATGAAGAATCATTAATGCAGATTGACTGAAGTGAAGCAAGGCACACACAACATTCTCATAGCAGAGACATATTTGAGACACTGATAAAAGGAAGGAAATTACCTCAATTCAGAAAATCAATACATGTAAAATGTTCATAAATTATACTATAAATTGCAAAGCAAAATAAAAATAAAAAATAAAATAAAAAAGTATGATATAAGAGAGACAATAACAATAAACTCCACAAACAAGCAACAGCAACAGAAGAAACTGCTACTGTCTTTGCAGCCCTGAATTATGGTCTCCAATTCATCCCTATACATACATTATCTCTGCAACCTACTCTTTCTCTGCCATTTTTATTTCACAACTCGAATATCCATAACAATTCAAATCAATATGGAGAGACTTTCTCCTCTTACCTGAATCAACAGTAACCTCTTCTCTAATTTTGTATTGACCCACAAATGATAATAAGAACCAAATATGCTGCCTTGCACTTTTGTTTATTTTTTCGCCCCACAAGCGACGAGAGTCGCATAATATATGACTTGGCACAGTAAGAGGGTACAGAAGAAATGGCCACCAATAATAAAAACTCTGAAACTTTGATGTTTTTTTTTGTTGCTATGGCGAAAGGGTTAGAGGAGAAAGGTTCTCAAAAGAATCAATAGAAGGGTGGTGGAGGAGGAGATGCATACGAGACTCCGATAACAGGTGGCAAAGGCCCTTCATATACAGGGGCAGGTGGTGGAGAAGGTGAACTGTAAGGAGGTGGTGGTGGTGGTGAACTATAGTGAACTGGTGGTGGTGGAGGTGATGGAGATGGTGGTGGCAGGTAAGGTGCGGGATGTGGTGAAGGTGGTGGAGGTGAATGCTCTTCACAAGGTGGTGGTGGTGGAGGTGGTTCTATACAAGGTGGTGGAGATGGTGGTGGTGGTGAATGGACTGGTGGTGGAGGAGGAGAGTGGACAGGAGGAGGAGGTGGCGGTGATAAATAGGGATAAACAGGTGGTGGAGGCGAGTGAGGTGGTGGTGGAGGAGATGAATAAGGTGGTGGTGGCGGTGGAGGTGAATGAGAAGGTGGCGGTGGTGAATTATAATAATAAGGTATAGGTGGTGGCGGGGAGAATATAGGAGCAGGTGGTGGTGGTGAATTTGGTGGCGGCGGTGGTGGAGGCCTAACACAATATGGTGGCGTTGGAGTTGGCGACGGCGGTGGTGGGGATGGTGGAGGTGGATATGGCGATGGTGGCGGTGGTGAAGGTGGATAATAGACCGGGGGTGGCGGTGGCGGTGGCGGAGGTGGAGAATAGACCGGTGGTGGCGGTGGAGGTGGCGGAGGTGGAGAATAGACAGGTGGTGGCGGTGGAGGTGGTGGTGGAGGTGGGGAATAAACAGGCGGAGGTGGTGGTGGTGGAGAATAGACCGGTGGCGGGGGCGGAGGTGGTGGTGGAGGAGGTGGTGGAGAGTAAACTGGTGGCGGAGGCGGTGGCGAATACACAGGTGGCGGAGGTGGAGGTGAATACACCGGTGGGGACGGCGGAGGCGGAGGAGGAGAATGTGGAATAAAAACAGGCGGCGGCGGCGGTGGAGGAGGGGGAGGAGGCAAGGAAGGAACAAATGGCTTACACCTAAAAGAGTTACAATCCACAGGGTGAGACAAAAACGACTTACATTGCGCCGCTGAGCGCTGCAACGGCCTAGCCGGCAAGCAGTTACGGCGGTCATCAAACGATGGCAAGGCAAGACACCTCGGAGGCTCACCGGTAAAGAAGTTATAACTGTAAGTAAAGTTCTCAAGATTCGGAAGCGCACAAATGCTCTCAGGTATTTTCCCAGACAGCAAATTGTGAGCCACATTGAGCTGTTCCAAACTCACCGCTCCTCCGATAGCCTCCGGCAACGGCCCCAACAACTGGTTGAAGCTCACGTCGAACACCGTCAGGTTCTTCAGCAACCCAACTTCCTCCGGCAAACACGACCGGAACATGTTGTTCATTAAAATGATCTCATTAAGGTTCGACATGTTCCCCAAGCTCGCAGGAACACAACCGTGGAAGTGGTTGTTCGCCAAGACAATAACCGACACCGGCGAATTCCCGAAATTATCGGGCAAATCGAACACGAAACGGTTGTCGTTGATGAAGATTGCGTCGAAGGTTTTATCGAAGAGCTCCTTCGGCACAGTTCCTTCAAAATCGTTGAACCTCAGATCCAGAAACTTGAGCTCCGGCAAACGCAACACAACCTCCGGAAACTTTCCGGCGAACCTGTTGTTGCTGAGATCCAATTCGAACAAGATTCTGAGATTCTCGAACTTGTGGGGTAGTGTGCCACAGAACCTGTTGGTGTTGATGTGGAAGAGAGCGAGATCCACCAGCAACCCAAGCTCCTCCGGGAGGTAACCGGCAATGTCAGCATGGTTGAGGTCAATGCCGGCGACGGTGCGGATCTTGGGGTTGTCCGGCGCCGGAGCACAGAAAACTCCGGTGTAATTACAAACATCAGGTCCCACCCATGTGAGTGTGTAGTTGTTTGGATCAGAGATAATGGCTTGTTTCCAAGCTTGAAGAGCTATGTACGCGTTTCTGATGCGGTCGTTTTCGAAGACAAGTGTTGGGTCTACGGTTACCTTTTCTCCTCTGTCACCGAACTCGTCTTTGTAATACAGAAGCTGGCGTTGCTTGATGTATGTTGTGAGTGCTCCTCCATCTCCATTGTTGAGTTTTTGTGAAGAGGCACAGAGAGAGAGTGTGCCTATGAAAAAGAGGAACAAGGGAATGAGTGAGAGATTTGAATAGGTTTTCTTCCTCATCTCACATCACACATCTGATGTAACCAAATGCCAAATGCTGCTGCTGTTAAAAAACTAAAACTTTCGATCAGATTTCAAGTGGGGTTTTAGGAAAGTTTCCACCTTGAGATCTGAGGAGAATGCAGCTACAAAGGATTTGATTTGGGGGGGAGAGATAGAGAAGAGAGAGAGAGAGAGAGAAAGAAAGGGGTTTTATTTCTAGGGATTTTGGAACTGTGTGTGAGATTGTATATGACTCTGTGAAGAGTGAGAAAGTTAGAGAGAGAAAGAGAGAGTGGGCATGAAATAATTCATCAAAAGGACAGCTAAATCACAGCTCAAAGCCCACCAGATTCTCTATCTCTCTTTCCTTTGCTCACTTTTTTATTTAATATTTTCTTAACTTTATTTTGTTGTTATTGTTGTTTTATTTTCTTTGATTTCATTTCCTTATTTTTAATCATCTCTCTCAACAGAAATGGAAGACTATTGATATTATTTAAATCTAGAAGATTTTTTTCTTCTTCTTCTTATTCCTTTGCCAAACCAAACACTAGTTTCATTTTTATTAAACTTAGATGTCACTCACTCCTTAACGCTTTTTGGATAAAGTGGCAAACGCGGAGAGAGGAATAAGTGTGTGTAGGTGATATGCATATCATTAACAATTGCTATAAATTAGTGTTTTTAACTAATAATTGTTTCCACTATTATTTGTTTTCCCTCGTTTTCATTGAAATTATCATTATTAATATTTGTGGTTGTTGTAATTTACAGGTTACAACGGCTTCACTTATTTGAAATGAATTTTTTTATTTTTGAAAAAATAATTAAAATTAGAAAGCTGTTAGCACGATGGTTGAATTTGCAGGTAGCGCAAATTCAATTAATTTAATTTAATTATCAATCTTCGTTTAGTTGAGAACCCAGGTGGTGGTTGTTTGTGTCGGCTTCCATTGTCAAATCAATGACCCTCGCAGTAATGTACTGCCGGCAACTCTTTTTTTATAATTAAGTAAAATTAGGAAAAAATATTTTTAATTTTACTATATTAAAAAAAAATTGGCACATTCACTTTCATGTGAACGGGTCTTACAAATATTTTTTTCTTTTACTTTCATGTGAACGTGCGAAAAAAAAAAATTGTAATAAAACAGAGATATTAAATCCTTAAAATTATGTCATACACGTTGGACTTATTTCTGTTTTCCACATTCCCCGTGATAGCGATAACTTATGGACGGCTTTTACGCTTTCTAATTTATGGCCTTTTCCCATTCAACAAACTCCACCGATTTCATTTTCTAAATATTTTTATTTTATTTTTTTCTTTCGAGGATTTATATGTAATTAATTTCAACTGTTAATAATTATTGAAAGCAAAGTTTTGATTTTGATTAGTTGTTGTGATTGTATTCATTGAGGATCAAATTCAAAGTATTCTTACAATAAGTTAAGGACATTATTAAATTAAAAAGTCATTGTATACCAACAAATTGATAATTGTAAAGTCAATGATAACTTGTAATTTATCATTAGAAATTAATAGCTAAATTAAATGATTAGACAATAACATAAAATATTTGAATGCATAGTTTAATTGCAAATTCTTGTCAATAACTATTGTTAAATTAGTCTGGATTTATTATTTTCTTTTTTTCGTTTTAAATCCATTATGTCTTCATCTATGAGATTATGAAATTTAAAAGTTTAAACTCTCAAAAATCGAAATGAAAGTGTCTTGTTTGAAAATGTATTCTGTCGTAATTGACCACCTTTCATTTTACAAGTTTGAAAATTTCTTCTTTCAAAATCTTTCTATGCCTGTATTTTATTTGAATGTATTTTGATAAAGCAAACTTAGATATAGAAGTCTAATATTTTCAACTTGTTAGAATTAATTTATTACTTATTTTGTTTTTCTTAAATATTGCTAGACTAAGCTGTCGAGTAGTTTTATTTATCAACATAAATAACTTACCAGTAAGAAGTATTACAATAATTTCTCTTTTGTTTTATAAGGATACTAAATCTTACGAAAACTTTTCTTACCAAATAAAAAAACTATTTTAACAGCTAGAGAGCTTCAAATGAATGCGTGAGCGTATGATTAATTATGAATCATAATGCGTAATCGCAAACGTGGTTCATATATATAGACTATGCAAACGAGGTAATTAAAAAAGAAAAATATCAGAATCCTCTGCTTTTAATGTATGTCTTTTTTAGTAGCAACAAATAAAGACAAGAAAATAATGCAATACAACGTATCTTTCATTTTCACCCAAAGAATATAACCATTCTTGAAGTGTTTGTTACCCCATAACACAAACGCGTTTGGACCATAAATAGCTAGCAACAACTAGTGATTATTAGTAATTACTTAATCGAAACGGCAATGTTTAATTATGTTAATTTATAGATGTATTGCTGATTACTCCAAAATAAAGATATGTTTTTTAACTGAGCTATTATTTTCGTAGCATCTTTGTCTTCATATTTTTTCTAATATTAGAAATGAAACTTCGTATAAGTCCAAGAGGAACAAATTCAAAAAAAATAATTAGATAGTAAAATTAAAAATACAAATATAAACTAAAGTAAGATTCTAAAAAATTGGTAAATAATATTCAAAAATTTCCAACGGTGTCTACGAAATAGGCTAATCCTTCGTTAAAGTACTCAACATTTATGGCAACGGTAATCGGAAATATCACGATCTCGTGAGTTGTGACTTGTGACTTCTGATTTATTTATTTTTTTCATTAAAAAAAAAAAGAAAGAGAGAAAAAACCTGTGACTCTGAGTTTACATTGCAACCGCAGACAATTTCCATGTGGCGCGTCCGTATGAGCATTGATGCAGCTTTGAGGAGTGGGGCCCGCGAAACATGAGAAATGAATCCCGTGCGTCGCGAGATGGAGAAGAAAGCGACAAGAAGATTGGGCCCCACGTGTCACGTCCTTCCCGCCTGGATCGTCGGCGTTCTTTAGACCCTTCCTCTTTCTCAACAAAATTCACTCAATCAAACATAAATCCTCTCACTTTTGCAAAAAAAAAAAACATAAATCCTCTCACATTTTATTTAAGATGATAAAATAATGTTAGAAAATTATAATCATATAAAGTAAATTAACAGTGATAATTTTATAATTATTTATTTCAGTATTTTTTAATTTATTATTATTATTAATGTTACTTTGTATAGTTATAATTTTTTCATATAATTATTAGATTAAATAAGATATGAGAGAATTCACTCCCATTAAATTATTATCCAATTTCAAATATTAAATACGTGTTAATGCTATTTTAATTTTAAATTTAAGTTATTCGGAATGAGCTAGTAACGATGGGATTCAATAGTTTACTAAAATTATACTTCAAACATCACCGCCCATTATATTAAAAAAAAAATTAAGCATAATTATTGACTTGTGGTAATCTCTCTTATTTTATGTATTATTTCCAGTTTTTTTTTTATAGATTATACTTTTTATAATTTTTAAAAAATATGTCAAATGTAACACTCAGAATGGAGCCGGAAAGTTGGGATGTGAGTTGGCTCCAAATTCATAAAACTTTCAATTATAAATATATATTTTTTTGGTTAATTAAAAGTTCATGTGAGTTTAGGTACTGGTATCCTACAAGGATCAGAGAAGATTCTTAATCTCAATGAGGATTTCTATATATTGTTCCGTCAATAAAGTCCTCACATTAGTTAGCGGGGTTTGAATCCATGCTCTTATGGTATATGGACCAAATTCTTACTTATTTGTGTCCACCCCTATTTGCTCAATTATAAATATATTTTTTTCCTGAGTAATTATAATTATTACTCCATCCCTCAACTTATATAAACCTTTAATTTTGAGTATCTTTCCTATTTTTTTATCATATAAATAATTGTAGCTTAAAATTTGTAATAGTACAAAAAAAAATTGGTTTCACCATTGTATATAGTATACAATTGTTTTAGAAAATTAATAATATACTTATTTTTTTGTAAGCATAAGATAGTTTGTTGATAAAACTTTTAGATTTTAAGTAATAATATATATAAGATCAATTTAATTTCTTGTAATCAACAATATTTTGGTAAGTAATTTATAAAATTGTATGGCAAATTATTTTAAAATAATACAAATTACCCATGCGTGATGGTAATGGTATGGTAGTATACATTTCACAAGCGTCAAAAAAGGAGCGGGGCATTCTCTGCAAAGAAACCACGTGTGGCGTGTTTCCATTTGGAGAACCATAAACTGGATTATTGCAGGTGCTAAAATCAACTGATGATTACGGCTAACAGCTTTGTATTTTATTTTAATTTTTTTTTTAATTTGTTACATTTATGAAGAGAATATTCAAATTTCAACAACGGTAAGTTTTTCCTAATATCTTTTTTGAATATCTTTGTTTCAAATTTATTTTAGCTTTTCAAAATGTTAAAGTAGTTTATTTTTTTAATCTTCTTTTAGTTATTATGAATAATTCAAACATATTTTTAATAAAAATAATTTTTCTTAAAAATAATCCTAGATATATTTAAAAAAAAACAATATATTCGTTAACATTATTATTTCATTTTCGGTTCTCTATCAATTTTATCAAGCTAATTTTAAACTTTTGCGTTACCACAAATTCAAGTGTTCCGGCACTTTTTTTTTTTTTTTTTTTTTTTGTATACAGTCTTTTAACCCTCTTATCAAACCAAATATACAGCTTAATCTTATTCTTAATAGAAGCGAGAATATTTTCAAAAAAGAAAAAAGAAAAAAAAATATATATATATATATATATATATATATATATATATATATATATATAAGATAGATTATTCTACTTTTTTCTATATATACCTTATCTATCATTTTCCAACACCATTAAATCAGAATAACAATTAACTTTTTTTATTTATCTCTTTTCTTAAGATTCTGATCTATCGATGTTGTAGAATGATAGTTAAGGTAAATACGAAAAAGATAAGTAAAAGAACTTATCATATATATATATATATACACATATGAACAATCTCATAGAAATGAATGTTAAATGAAAAGTGTAAATAATAATAGGGTTTGTTTTTTCTGATGTTACTTTAGATAACTTTATCTAATGTTCATCAAAATGACGTCGTTTTGGGACGGAAATCATGGTATTTTTGTAATTTTAATTTATTTCAGGATTATAGTAGTCTTTATCACTCTAATTTTTTAATTTTTCAACCCAAAACGATGTCGTTTCAATGAACATTAGATAAAGTTATCTAAAGTAACATCAGAAACTTTTTTCCCATAATAATAATAACAGATTAGTGTTTGTCATTTTAAAAGAT